CATCTGTGAGTTCCAAGAATCTTTGTAGCGGACATTTATACTGACAGCCAGGGATTTTCAGTGGGAAAGGTTCCTTCCCACTCTCATTCCGGAAAAACATCTCCACTGAGAAGTTACTGAAACCAAAACACAGCTAGATGTGGATTTCTTTCCCAGCTTAAGTCATCCCTTCTCAAAAACTCAGTGTGCACACCCTTTCCTTTATTCTGGTGGCAGTTTTCCTCCTAAGTCTGCCACTAGGAGCAAAACTGCATCCCCCTAGGGTGGAGCCTAGCCTAGGCATCTCACACTTGAGGTAAAATCCCAGCACATGTCTTTACTGAAGCCCTCACCCATCATCCTCTTGGTACAGCTCAAATAAATGACAGGAGGCGTATGGTGCTTGAATCTTGTTGTAGACATCTAGAGCCATCTGCAGTGCCACAAGTGTGGTGTCATGCTGAGAAAGAGGGAAAAAAACCAAATCAGTCACCCTTAACGGATGTGGCAGGGCAGCTCAGACTGTACTAGTAATGGACATGGCAGTGCTGAGGGGACATCACCTTGGTAACTTCCATCTGGAAGAAGGGAGAGGAACTGTAGTGTTAGAACCATGATCTGTGACGGTGTCAGAGAAGGGAGAGCAGTGAAGTGCAGCCACATACGTCCTGCATTGTTCTTTAAGAATTAATCTCTAGGGAGCAATCTGGGAGAGATGCTTGACTTTCCCGTCAGCAGGCTGCTGGAAAGGGGCATGACTCCGTATCTACACTGCTGAAACACCACATCTGAGTAGCATCAACCCATCTCTCCAGTTAATACAGCAGTGGCTCCCCAAAGTCTGCTTTGGGGAGCACATCACCTCCACAAGCCTGAGCTAACATGAACAAAGCGCAGGTTGGGAATTTTTCTTCTGGGCCTCCAGAGGAATAAGACAAGACACTACACATCCCACCCAGCCAGAGGCAAAGATGCATGTCCTGACCACTACGTGGGCTGAGGAGAATGCAGAAAGGGTTAAAACTATCACCAAGCCCCAGTCTCCGAGGAGGAGATGGATTAAAGCTAGCACCCAGGCTCTGACTTACTGCTGAATAGGCAAGTAGCTTCAGGTTCTGGTGGGCAGAAACATTTGCTGCTTTGGTTAGGTTTTTCCTTATGTGATCCAGCAGGACCCCTGAGGAGAGGGAACAGCTGGTAAGAAACAAAAACTAGGCAGAGCAGCATGAAGCTCCCTCCCTGGTACACTCACCGCCTTGCAGACGAGCTTTTTCTAGCCGACTGCGGATCCCAAACAGAAATTCAAAACCAAAGTCTTTTAGTTGCTTCAACTGAGTCATGACATCTGGTGTCACCCATGCAGGTAAATCCATTTTGTGTGCTTGCTAGAAAGAGAAACAGAATACTCATCTGCAGGTAGCACGGATCGCAGATCAATGAAAGAAGGGGAGTCAGGGTGTCTGGAGCCTTGCACATGCTGCCACTGATTTCCTGTATTATTTTGAATATGTCCCTTTCCTATTTATGCTTCTGTCCTCACGCTGTTGTGCTGCATACGAAGAATCTATGTGGGTTTCGGAAACTAATAATGAGAGGCATAAATATTAAAATCTAGGAGCTACATTTCTGTGAAAGCACAGCTGGAGTGCAGAGTTATGTCGTAACACTGAAACAATAATCTTGGGGCGTTTACTTTACAAGTGGCCAATTCTGCCCTGCAGATGGCATGCAATAAAAAAAAAACAAATAACCCAAACAAAAAAAAAAATACGAGGGAGAACACAAACTCAAAGTTGCAGGTGTACCTGCAGCACAGTTTCCCCAGAGGGTCTGAGGGCTACTGAAGAATAGCAAGTGCTC